GGCAAGCAGAGCAACACAAGCTAGTCCTGAAATGTGCTACAATATTTCTTTAAGTGCTATCTTTCTCTCAATTTATTTTTTCTTCCTTCTATCAGTACTATCAAACAGATTTTAGAACTTAAGTGCAATTTACCTATTGTCACCCTTTTCCTATTCCCCATGTCTTCATCCCTGCTCCCAATACCAAGTGTGAGACTGAGGTATCCATATTCAATCTACTCTCATCTGCTTTTAGATTTTTTTTATATGAATGTTGATTGCCTCTGGTCCCTCAGAGGCATTTTTCTCAGTTTTTTTAAGAATTTTTTTTCTATTATTCCAAAGAATTAGGTGTAAAGTTATATATCAGAATTCTCAACAAAAACAGATCTCAGTTTACCAAAGTAGATTTCTTTTGGAGTTTTGTAGTATTTTTAAGTCACACTCATCAGCTGTGACAACTGAAGAAATCAGAGCAGGTCTTAGAAAGGGAAGAAAACAAAATCCAATGATGAACTTGAGGTGCTAGTGAGCCTTACAATTGGAATTGTGATATGTGGGAATCTGGCCATAATGGGAGTCAAGAAATTATTGAGAGACATTGCAAAGGAAGAGCTTTGAGATCAGAAGTTTTGGTGATTGGTCACATCATTAAATGAATTGGACAAATGGAGGTTTCCAAGCCACTGGAGGCTTGCTCATGTGAGCCTGTTGCAGTGGTGGTGTCGAGCACAGGACCCATGTCAGCTCAATTAAACAAGGGCCCAAAGGGGAGGTGAGAAATAGGTGGCAAGCCAGCACTAGACTGAGAACTATTTGAGACTGATTGCTGCTGGGTGAAGGAGAGTATGATTTACATATGACCACTGCATGAGATGACTAGACTCCAGTGGACACATTTACACTGAAGGGTACAAACACTTGAATGAATAGGACTTAACATGTACGGCAGAATGCATAGGATTTGGTAGAGAATGGGGGGCACATAGCTGGGGGAGGAGGTCTAGATTTCAATGGGAAATGTTTAATTTTAAAAGCTCAATAAAAATATGATCTATAAAAAAGATAAGAAACTATTTTAGAAAGAGATAAATCAGACTTTGAGGTTTATCAGTGGGAAGTACCCCAGTACTGAGGGGATGAAAAGAATGCTAGATTTTTAGGGGTTGCTGATATGCAATGTGTGTTATATGGGAGAAGAGATCAAAGAAACCTAGGCCCAGAACATTAGAATGATTCCTATGAAAATTGATATGTTTGTGGAAAATAATGGAGGTCACTTAAAATTTTCTATTTATAAAAACTGCTGTTTAAAAGTTATACTATTCGATGGGCATGATGATGCATGCCTTTAATTCCAGAACCTGGGAGGCAGGAGCAGGTGGTTCTCTGTGAGATCAAGGCCAGTCTGGTCTATCTAGTGAGTTACAGGCAACTGTTGCTACAGGGAGACCCTGTCTCAAAAAGGCACCCACAAAAAGTTCTATTATTATCAGGGCATGGTGGTGCATGCCTTTAATCTCAGCACTTAAGAGGCAAAGGCAGGGCCATTTCTGTGAGACTGGGGTCTACTTAGTAAGTTCCAGCTCAGCTGGGGCTATAGAAAGACCCTCTCTCAAAAAAAATTGTGCTATTTTAACAGTGTATATAAGTTGTGAACAGAAAACCAGGATGTATTCCATTGTATCAACTGTGGGATTTACACCCTTTTTTCATGTGGCAATTAAGGAAAATATAATTGCCTTCTCTATTTCTCAGAATCATAGATTTTTCTGTGCTCTTAATATAAAGCTACTTTTTGACATTAAAACCATTTAACCCACATGTTCAAATCTCTTGTTCAGTTTTAAGACTGAACTTGGAGCAGATTCAAAGCATCCAAATACTCCTCTGAATGCAGTGGAATACTGTAAAACAGGCCATAACTCCTTAGTTTGACTCTCTCACACAGACTGTGTCCATATTGTACAGAGAGATATGATTTATTAAAATAAACCTAAGTAGCCTCAAATTATATCTACTTCAATTTGTACTGAACTGTGGGTCAGGAAGTCCCAAAGTAACACAAAATAGAGAAAGCAAATTTTAAAAAAAATTTTCCATTCAGATATCAAAAATTTCATGATTTCTTTAAAATTTCAGTGTACTTACCATAAAGAGTCTAAAATCTCAACATATTTACATCTTTTACTGATGGCTTAAAAAGTGGACAGGTATGGTGGCACACTCCTTTAATCCCAGTGCTCAGAAAAATTGGTAAAATAAAATGAAATTCATTGGGGACAGGGTATGAAGAGAGTGTGTAACTGGTCAGGGTGCAGGGGACACAATGGGTGGGGGCTGACTTACCAGAGTAGTCTGGAAGTCTCAGGCAGGATGAACAGGAGGGGGCCTAAGACCAAGGCATGGGTTGGGGCAATGTAGACAGAGAGGATGTACCTGGTCAGGGTTCTGGGGAATCAAGACACGGTGAATGAGTGGGGTCTGATTTAGGATGGTCTCAGTGGGGATGGGAAGAAGGGTGTCTAAGCTTAAGGCAGGAATGAGAACGACATGAGAAGAGAGAATATAGCTGGTCAGGGTGCATGGAGAATCGAAATAGAAAGTGTAACTAGTCTTTGAAAATTGACTGGGAAAATTTATCTTTCAAATTCAAATTATGGATGACCTATCAGGAATGAGTAAAGCAGTCAACGTGCGTGTTTTTAAACCTTAACCTAGAAAACTCACAATATGTTAGTTATAGAAGAAGCCATGAGTGGTTAAGCAACAATTTCTTCTAAGACAAGAAGAGTTGTGAAAGAACACTTTAAAGTGCCTGACTTTATCATATTGAAAGGTATCATCTTTGTAAACGTTAGTACTAAGTAGATGTAAGTACTACATGAAATAAGGAAGCCTATGCTGGAAAACAGTAACACCATTTAAAGCACTGTATAAAATGATAACGAGAATACTTGTGATGGAGTGATCACGTGCTTCCTGCAGAGCTCAGTGCTAATCAGCTTCTCTATCTCTTATCACTGCAAAAACCTGCATGGATCACCATGATAACGTTCTTTGCCTAAGAGTAAAAGAATTTGAAAACTAATTAGCATCTAGTGAATTTCAATAGAATAAATAATTAATAGGACTAATTGGTGTGAAAAAAATTTAGAGTCCAAAAAGCTTGTGCTTTCACATTGGAATGATTTGGACATGGGAAGATGGGGGGTTATACTTCTATTTCTTGGTTTTGAATATTTTATTTTATTTTCAGTTGTGTCTGTTATCACTCAGCTCTTGCTCTGACATCCTCTTGACTCCCCAGTGCTTATAATGTATGGAAAGAATTCTACATGTAGTGTAGAAGACAGGCACATTTATTACAGAGCAAAGAGAAAAACAAACCTTCCAGGGATTAGAGTGGGCAACAGTTCAAATAACTATTGTATAGAACACTCACAAGGTGTGAGAGTGGACAATGGTCAGAGAGACCAATGTGCCAGTTTACATTTTAGGAATGTTTTGTATTAGTTTTAAGATCTCTGAAACAGACAGCTTTCCTTGGGGGGGGGGTTGGTATTTTGCTGTCCATGTAACTGACAGGTCCATTTTGATCAACTCTTACAGGAGTGAATATAACTCATCTTTTTCTTTATCAAAAAGCCTATTGTTAGATAGTAATCTTATAAGGTTAGGGCTCCTTGGAACCAATTATTAGTGAGAGAGGTTAGAATGTCCTATCTCCTCCCAGGACCAAAGATACAGGTTGTATCCCTCTCACCAATAGTTACAGTCTAGCAGTTCCATATTTTGGTTTTATAGTCAATTCAGATGAGGAAGGAGTCCAACTCAAGTTCTTCAAGTCTTCTAATATCTAGTTAGATACCTAACATCTTTTTTTTTTTTTGGCCTATTTCAATTTCTGGACAAAAAGAAAGACTAAGGAAGATACTCATTCTGCTGCTAATTCTGGTTTATAAAGACTTGCTTTACACCAGGTGTACTCAAAGAAATCATACCAATAGGGAAAAATAGCAACAGCCTTTACTAACTTGGAGCTGCTGGTTTTTGCAGGCAAGGCACAGCTAATGACGAACACATTTAGAATGACTAAATTCCATGAAGAAAAATACCTATGAAATCATGGCAGGGTACTGCCAACGATTAGATTAGCTTTTCAAAATTACTTGATTAAGACATGCAATGTAATATAACAACAAATACAAGTATTTAATAGTTTACAATATATGTATCTTTGTTCTAAGCTATTACTCAGGCCTCAGTTTGTACTTTGCTCTTATATTTTGAATATTGTACACATATAAAAGCCAATAGACTTTTTTCCCTTTTGAAAGACTGTTGAGCTTGCCAGTACAATCTTAATATCAACACAGATAAAGCAACAAAGAATTCTTGGTTAAAAAAGAAAGATAAAGAATATAGCCAAAATAATTCTACATGATGCTTGTAACTTTGATTAAAGAAAGGACCATTCCCATAATTATATTTAAAGATTAAAATCAACTAACACTATAATTTCCCTTGAGTTTAAATTTATAGTCTGGGTTCTTCTCATAAAAGAAACTTAAAATACAAATGGAATAAGAGCACTTTTGTGTATGTTAGATTCAGGACGTGTGTGTGTGTCTGTGTGTATCTGTGTGTGTGTGCCTGTGTGCCTGTGTGTCTGTGTGTGCTAGACCTGGTGTAAGTATAAAAAATGATAAGTTTCTATTTTAGGTAATAATTTTTCTAGCATTGAGAAAGTTTAGATAGCTGAAGTAAAATCAGGCAGAAGTGTGAGGTAGTGACAGATACTTATAATCGTATAACTCAGGGGGCTGAGGCAGGAGGATCACATTTCTGAGGCTGATTGAATTACACAGAGGGACCTCATGTGAGAAGGGAGGAAGGGAGGAGAGGACGGAGTACAGGAAGAAGGAATGGAGGCAGGGGGAGAAATGAGCAATCCTCTGACAGATGCATGGGACACCACCCAGGTTGAGCATGAACTTTCTTTTTTGTTGTTTCCACAGAGTATTTGCACAACCACCACTGCATTTTTGCATTTTTTCTTCCTGGCTTCATTCTGTTGGGTTCTGACTGAAGCGTGGCAGTCATATATGGCTGTAACTGGAAAAATTAGGACACGACTCATAAGGAAACGCTTTTTGTGCCTTGGATGGGGTAAGCATATTAATGTATTTTTTCATACTTTTGCAAAAATGACATTAACTGCCTTATAAAACTATAGAAAGGAATTATTCCCAGGTTACTTTGTGTTAATTTGAAACACAAAGTAGGAGGGCATGAGGAGGGCCATTTTCTGAACATTTGTGCATTTGGTACTTTGTAAAGGAGTAATCACTGAATAACCATTTAGCTAGCGAGCTAACACCCAATAAACTACATGTTGTACGTTGAGACCTGAGCTATCTACAGCCAGAAAATAATGTATGCCCTGCTAATATTTTCTGAAAATGCAAATTACTTTAAATTGTTCTGGTCCTCAAATCATGATGGTTCACCAGGCATGTAACCAACACTAGGAAAACATTACGAACTGTATCCTCCAATATCCTGAAACTATTAAAGAATAAAGCTGTTCTTGTCACACGAACAAAGCCATTAAGTAAATCAATGAAAGTTGAAATGTAGTCAGTGGTTTCCTCAAAAGCAGAAACACAGTGCCTGGAGTGGTAGTGGACACCTTTAATCCCAGCACTCAGGAGGCAGAGGGCGGCTGATCTATTAGATCAAGTTCAACCTGCTAGTCTACACAGCAAGCTCTAGGCCAGCTGGGATTACAAGAAGACCTTGTCTCAAACAAACAAACAAACACAAATGTAGAAACATAGAATTGCTGCCAGATTGAGAAATAGTTTGTTCTATACCCATCATAATTGGGGAAGTTTCTCTATTGACTTCATAACAAAGACATCTCAAGATCTATACATCTCACTGGGCTAATTCTAATGAAAGCACATTTAACGTTTAAAAAGCTAGCTTTTTGAAAAAACAACTCAGTTTTTTCATGTTATGTATTTAAAATTCCCACATGGAGATAACTAAAGAATTTTAAACCAAAGCTCCCAAGCAACACACACACACACACACACACACACACACACACACACACACACCACATTTGTGTAACCTGGAGGTAACCATCTGAAGATTAGAATAGGGAGTTAGAAGTAACCTGGGAAATTACAAGTGGATTTATTGCAGTACCAGAATAATTCGTTCTGAAAAATAGGATCAAGACAAATTAAAGATTATCAGTCAGGTTTCAGCAAGGGTGCATCATATTTAGCTGATGTATTAGGGATTTTTATGAAAGCAAATGGAGAGTTGAAGAATATGGCCTACTTAGAGTTCCAAAAGACCTTTGTCTAGATTCTATGACAAAGACATTCTAAAATTAAGGCAGTACTGAACCCAGGAAGATTTTTATTGTGAAGGACCATAGAACAAGGAAGAAAGAATGCATGGAGAAGTTATTTCTTAAAGAGTGAGTTCCATGCCTGTTATCAACAGCTACCTTATATATCTTTATATCTTTAACCCTGTTTTTAAAGCTCTCGAGAAAGGGATTTGCAGCTTGCCTCCAAATTTACTAATGTGCTCTGAGTTGCAACAGGTTACCCAGAATTTCAATACAGAAAATATGCCATTATGAATATAGAAAAAAATTAAGTCCAAATTGTATGATATGAAGATGTCTAATCCTTTAGTTATTATGTAGTAGAGACTTTTCTTCTAATGAACTCAGTCTATAGGCAACAACACACAGGATGCAGGATGAAGGATGAGGAGGAGGCAAAGAGGATTAGATGTGTAATTTATATTACACACGTACAATTACGAACAATAATTTAAAAACATGGTGACTCTCTGAGATGCTTTCCATAGTTCTTGTCTTTAAACCTTGTAAACATAATGTCACTAGAGAAGGATACCTGAAGAAAAAGAATAGCAGGAAAGATGGGCTAGGGTAAGGAGAGTGAGTTTAGACAGAGGGGATGCAGGAGGACGGTTAACTGAGGTTCGTCTTAACCCAAAAAAGTAGTTATAATCTTGGAAAGAATGCATGACCAAATAAACACACACACACTCACAAACACACACATAAACACATGTAAACATACCAACAAACACAACATATATGCATACGCATACATGTATGCAAACACAGACATGCACATATATGCTCACACACATACATACACAGACACAGTATAAAAAGAAATTATAAGGTCAAAGTTTGTTTAGAATCAGATAATTGAATTCCCCTTTCCTGCATCCTTATTGTTTTAAGTAAGTTAAAAAGAACACATAAAGTGATAAAATTTATTTTTTGTGTCTTATTATATGTGCAACTTGATATGGATCAATATGTGGCCACGCAGATGTTCTGTTTCTCTCTGGCAGTCCATTACACCAGGACATCCAGTTTTTTAACTTTGTTATTTTATAACTATAAATTTCCTTTATAACAGTGTAAACCCCTAGAGAAAAAAATAACTTAAAAGGCATACTAAATCTCTGTTATTACTTCCTTTAAAACTATGTCAAATTCAGTGGTAACCTAGCAACATCAAATGGGCTAGTTTAGAGACCCAGGTATTCTCTCTCATATTTTTGCACTTGAGAGAAAGTTTGTAACACACTTTGTGAGGTAATTCTCCCAAAGGTAGTTGCTCTGATTTGGGCATCTGGAGTTTGTACAGATATTTCTTAGGTCACAATGCACAGTGGCTGAAGCTGAACATGAGGTGTGACCTTGCTTTTCTTGTAGGTTTACCAGCTTTAGTAGTGGCCACATCAGTAGGCTTCACCAGGACGAAAGGATATGGCACAGATCACTAGTAAGTCCATCCACATTGATAACTCATGTCTATAATTAAGCAAGTTATAAGACAGGCTTCACTTGTGTTGTCTGTTGACTGTATTTGTTTCATCATCCAGTCTTTAACAATGGTAACAACTACTGCATCACTGAATAGTGATGTAGGGAGGTTTATATATACAAAAGTTAAGAAAAAATGCAGCACTATGCAGAATCCTCATTTCCATTTCCAGTTCTTTGTAAAACCAGCATATTATCTTGTTAATATATTTTAGTATATACTATGAGTGTTTGATCTTAGATCATTTTTGTTAGAACTGGTGAAATCTTGATGCTATCTTTTAAGATGAAATTCTGCCCTCAACTTCTAGTATCTTTGATGATTATATTTATTATCAACAACTAAGATTTGTTATGATAATTTACATTTTGTTGCTGTTTTATGATGATACATATTAAAATTTACAGGTCAGCGGCGCCAGATTCTATATTAGAAAACACCTAGACTTTGGAAGAAATTTATAAAGGGAAAAAGCCTACAAAGCAATTTATAACAAAGATTTAAAAATGTACTTTCATGTTGCACTACACCTGCTCTCAAGCAGAGAAAGCAGCTGAGAAGTGGGGAATGTGTATGCATACTATAAGATGCATACATTTTGAAGTGTGGCATTCTATTTCACTGTTTTCAAGTTTTAGTTAGCAATCACTGTTAGGCTACCTGTTGGGCTCATCCAAATTGAAAGTACATCAAAAGCCATCACTGCATCTGCCTGTGCCCAGGACACTAAAGTTGGAAGAGCTCCTGTCATTGGACCGCTTGCTTTTTTATATAACCACTATTAGAAATAAATTTCTAATAGCATATATTTCAGAGTACTGCTTACTACAGCACTATTACTTTAATGTATTAGTTTTTCCATTAACATAACTACTTTGATATAAATCAGGTATTTGAAAGGTACCTTATTAGGAATCTGTAAGAAATAAGATTAAGGATATTATGGTTCCTACTTTCAAGTTTATAAAGCCAAAGATATTACAAGTCATGTATTGATCTTAATTTTAAATAAATGCACCTGTATTTGTGAATGTATATGCTGGTGTTTCGGGATGCATATTAAACTACTAGGTGAAGTTTTAAATTAAGGTATAATTTATAGAGTCACATTCATGATATTAAGGGTATAGTTTTCTTGGGAGTTTCATGGAACCGTGAAAAACTGGTTTAAAAGATATCAGTGCACGAAATGAATAATCTACATTATTAGAGTTGTTAGAGTAGATTATTGTTAGAACAGATACAGAGCACTGTCTGCTTCACTTTGTTACTGTTGAAGGCAGCTCACTGACCTTATGGATTAAGATAATGACTGGGGCAAACCTCAGAGAAACAGCTGCATGAAGGGATGGCACGCTGCACATGAGCAGTGAAGATATAATCCCTCACACATCTCATGTTCACTCTCTGGATCAAGAGTACACAGATGTGCCATTCTGCAGAATCTGCAGTGCTGAGGCCTCTGGCCTCTTCATTTCCTTTTGATTCAGAGAATGAACGTTTTAACCAATGCATTCTCGCATCTCCATCCATGCAAGCCTACATCTCTTGGTGAAGTTAGTACATGGTATAAACACAGCTGCACTTATTTTAATTCAAAGTCGTATTTTAGTGAATTTTCTCAGTAGTCTGGAAAACAGTAAGATTAAAGGGGAAAAACCATGCAAATGTAGATTATTCATTTCCTGCTTCATACCTTTTAAACCAGTTTTTTCCCAATCTCAGTGCCCTCAAGGAAAAGCAGGTAAAAAGCACACCTAAGATTTTCCAAACACGCTGTTCTTATTTGAAAGTCTCCTTGAAAACATCTGCCAGGGAGATAAAGCAGCATTTTTTTAAAGTAATAATTGCTTTACTATGAAAACAAATGTAAAAACTGCACTATAAGAATAATTTGTCTAAGTCATTTAACTGTCTAAAGGCAAAGCCTTAGAATGGAGTTTCTGTTCAGTGAAAGGCATGTAGTGTTTTATAATCAAGGAAAGCTTAATCTTGCTTTTTCTAGATCCTCTAGAAGTTTTTTTAAGTTATAAATCTTTGAAATGTGCCAACATTCCAAGGCCAAATGTCTAGTCTAAGCTGTGTCACTGTTCAGTGGTCTAATACATATGACTAATTTTTGTTAGTTTTTATCTAATGCTATTTTCAGCTGCTGGCTCTCTCTTGAAGGAGGACTGCTCTACGCTTTTGTTGGGCCTGCAGCTGCTGTTGTCCTGGTAAACAATGAAATTCACTTATTTGACTTCTTAACAAAATAAGGTTACATTAGTTCAACTAGTGTGCCAATTTTGATAAAGTATTTATTGTGATATAGCTCAATTAACCATAACTTTGATTTCAATATCAATTTATTTCAATATTGTATTACCCTAAAATATTCAGTTTTAAGCACTAAAGATTATTAATCTTGGCAGCATGGAATTCCTCATATAGTGATTCTAGATATGTGAAGAAGTTTAAATAAATTTCAATAAATTCCTGCTGTTCCATATATAGAAACTTATCCTTCATTATCATTTCATCTCTGTATTATTTTGTACAATATATTTAGATATGAATAGGGAGATTTCTTCAAGACTGCCCTTCATCTGTCTATCATCATTACATATTTCTATACATACATATATTTATACAATATACTACACACACACATACACACACACACACACACAATTCGCAGACCTTTTCAACCTCAATGTTATGAACATTTTAGAGTGGATATTTCTTTGCTTCAGGGGCTGTCCTGTGCATTCTAGTATGTTGGGTAGCATCCCTTCCTCTGCCTACCACATATTGACAACATCCTCCAGTTATAATTAAAAACATCCCCAGACATTTCTGATGTTCCCTGAGGATCAAAATGAACCCCAGTTAAAAACTGCCAATAGATATTGTTTATATAGGTTTTATTTTTGTTATCACAAAATAATTTCTAGGTTTTAAAATTATAACATGCAAAAATTTCTACCAATTTTGTATCCCTCTCTCTCTGTCTCTCTCATTGTTCCATCATTATTAATCTTTGAAGAAAATTTAGGAGGAAAGAAATGATCTAAATTAAATGCAAAGATTTATATCACTGCAATTAGACTATCAGTTCCATAATTACCTTTCAGTTTCTTAAATGATTCATTCAATAATTTGGAAGCTGATGACATCTTTTTTAATAACTCTGAGTCTTTCTTCCTTTCAAGACTGTTCCCTTTCTTTAAGCTGTAACAGGAACAGAAATTGCCCATTATTCATAAAAAAGAAAGAGAAAAATGTACTCAAAATATGAGTATTAGAGAAGAGCATGGGAGAATAAAAACTATCAGAAACACTTTTCTCTGTTGCATTGGATTTTTATTGAATCAATTCAGTTAATCCCCTAAGCTACAAGTTAATGCACATATAACCTTAAAATGAAGAAACGAGTATGTCTGTAGCTGAAATACCAACATAAAGACTTTATTTTGGTTAAAGTCCCGTATAGCTAAGTTGTAGATTAATAGAATCCATAGACCATCCAGACTTTTTTCTAAGTTCAAATGAAGTTTGATACACATTCTTGTGATTAAACAATATTTTGCCCAGAAACTATGGCAAGAGATACCTCCTAAGTAAGTCCCCATTTAACAGATGCATTTTGGATCTTCATATCAGCAAGTAGACAAATTTCACTCCTCACTTTTTGGCAGAGGAGAATGGATTGCAAAAGATTATTGCCTTGTGATCATGAAGGGCAAAAAAAAGTTAAAAGGAGAAAATACTTTGCTTGTCTTCGTTCTGTCATTGGGCTGGTTTCCTTTATACCATGGTCATTCATCAGAATAATCTCTACCACTGGGTATCTGCCTCTGCAACTCCTTACAATTTTACTTGAAAGAGAACATTTTCTTACTGATTTCATGTCAGCTGTATTATGCAAAAGGCCATTTGAGTAAGAGTAAGTCTTAGAAAGGAATTGATGAGTACTCACTAGAGTCTATTTTAAGAATTAGTGCCAGGGTCCATCCCCTGAGGGGATCTAGAGATTTGAATAGGCTTTCCCTTCCTTCTAGAAAAGTACAGTACATCGGAAGTCTCCCACTCCAGGAGAGAGCAGCCAGAGAGCATGAGGATTTTACCACTCCGTCTCCCCTGCTGGGGGCAGTGGCAAATCCTAAACACCTTTCCCTGCCAAGTCTCAGCTAAGCCTCTAACTGGGAGATTTAAAATCTTTTGACTTTTCAATATAGGAGAAAACTCAGTTATCCAATTATTTTATTCAAAGTTACTGCAGAGACAACGATGCCAGGTTGGTATAGTTTGGTACAATTTAAAAATTAGGTAATTGAAGGTTAATTTCCCCATGTTAAACTGCAAACCATGGAAATTAAATGTGCTTAATGGACCTTAAAACCTAAGCATGCACCACTGTTAAATTGTTCGTTATGCCTTTGAGACATCTTTCATATCACGGCTCTCACAGTCATACACCTTTTCAGTAGTTTAAGGCTGTTTTCAGAACAGGGACCTGATTTCCTGTAATATTATTGAAAGGTCAACTTTGTTTCTGTTTGACAGGTCAACATGGTGATTGGCATTTTGGTATTTAATAAGCTTGTTTCCAGAGATGGGATCCTAGATAAAAAGCTCAAACACAGAGCCGGGTAAGCTGCCATTGGTGGATTTTGAAGGTTCTTTACCGGTAACTCCTGTAGTCCAGGTCCAGATTGTCTGACTACAGTGAACTGTGCCCTGAACTTTGCTTTTGATGTTCTAATGTGTCTGGTAGATTCCGTCATTCAAAAGTTTCTCTAATGTGATATGGCAAATATCTAGGGGTAATAAAAGAGGCATTAATAAAATAGAGATGTACATATTACCTGCTGGTCAGCTAAAATTTAAGACTAGATTTAAAATAGTCATCCTGAGATAAGAGATTTCAAAACCCTTCAACTTTTCATCACAAATGACAGGAATTAAACTGAAAACAATGTCAATTTGGGACAAATTGAAACTAGTAATCCTTAATAGAGTAAAAATAGTATTTTTTTCTTTAATTAGTTGTATAGACCAGAAAAAAATAGTCACTTCCCAAACACTATTCTCTTCATTCCTTTGACATTTTAAATATAATTTTCTAGGACAGTTATTCAGGATTTTCAGTTGAACATTCTTACCAATTATAAAATTTATAAAAGAAGCTACCCTAATTGTACTATTATATCAACAAACATTTCATATGTAAATTTGTATTAGCTTCTTAAAGTTGCATTACCACCTCATTGTAAGAATTTGTAGAAATTTGAGTGAAATATTAATACCTTTGATTTCTCCTTTTGTCTTTTCTTATAAAAGGATTATGGTACTCTCCTTTCTGGTAAATTGTAACTTTATTCAAAGTTTATTCTTATAATTATTCACTTTTAAAAGATATTTTATGATATTATTTAACAGCCATGGTATTTGATCACCTATTGGTGATGATTTTAAGAACTTTTTGTTTTTATAATTTATGTAATGAATATAAAGTAAGATAATCCAAGTACTTTTATCAATTATAATAATTGATAATGTTTATATCAAACCTTAGAGCTGCAATAGAACTGCATCAGTAGAGAGACCTTCCTGACATGGGATCACTTTTTACTTAGGACTCTTCTACATTACAGATTAGTTTCTAAAGCATCCTTAAAAAGGCAGTCCTGAACTTAGTTAGCATAGACACTGTGCTTCCTGTACCATTTGACAGAATCCTTTCACTTTCACACAGCTATTCTTATGAGTCTACCACACATAGCTGGAAAGGAAACCAGTTCTTCAGTTATTCTGTCTAGATTAACCAAGTAAGAATAAGATAATCGGATGAGTACTAGGTACAGAAAGTGAGTCCCGCTGCTAGTAACGTAAACATTTTTTAAGTGAAGGATTTGAAGTCAAAGCTCTGCAGTTCACTAAATGTGTATGTGTCTTTAGCATATTAGTTTGTCTTTCTGCAACTCAGTCTCTTCATCCATTAAACAGGGAAATAACTTTTGCTTCCTCAAGTACATGAAGTAATGTTTATCATGATTTAACTAGATTATGTGGCATACAGCAGGCTTTAATCAAGAAACAGTGGCTCTTATCATGGATGAAATGAGGTGTGCAGGTTTACAAAGGTTCCTGATGATGAATCAAAAAGCTATGATTTCATCATCCAAGACAATGAGGTCAAAAAAGAAGATAAGCTCATCAGAAAACTGAAGTTTTGTTAGACTCACAGTGTTTATTTTCACACATCATTATTTTGTGCACCAAGCCAAGTTTGTTTTGTGTGTCCCTTTGTAAGTGATAAACATAGATTTAGAAGAAATGACTTTTTTAATAAATTAACAAATTATTGATTTCGCTTTACATATTTGTAAGGACTATTGTAACTGAAAACCTTTAATTCTAAAAGCACTCTTAAAAGTGGCACGTGTTTATTTGGCAAACTGAATCATTGTCTTTCTGATTCCAAGGGGGCTGCTGCTGAAACAGTAGGATTGTTAACTTACACTATACAGATAGAATTCTGATTACTGTCCAGAACAGGGACGAGCTCTTGCATTAATGACTAAGTTGAAAAATCATCTCTATGATTTCTGAAGCAACCTGAGTATGTATAGATTCAACTTTGTTCTCTATTCTGAAATGTGATTGAATGAAACATTTTATTAAGCTGTGAATGTGTGAAGTTAATTTCAGTTCTCAGAGAAGCAGTGAGGAAAAATATTAAAGATTTCAGTGAGAAACTCAAAAATCGAGGAAGGCCCGTGTTCACTGCTTAATAATTGATTTCCCTAATTGTAAAAGTTGACTATCTCAGGTTGTGTGAATACATACATACAAATGTGTAATATATGCACACAGAGAAAGCATATTTTGTGACACTAGATGTTATTATTTAAAATAGAATATAGTACCAAGGCATTCATTTTATCATTTTTTCCTATTTCTATTTCTTTGTTGCTTTTCTTGTACCTTAAAATCACCTACTAGAAATAGCCAAACACACAATTTGTGCTCAATAAATATTTATAAAGGAATGAATAAATGTTTAATAAATAATAAAATTGCTTTACAAGTTTTCTAACACCAAAACCATATTAAAAGTTTCCTAATATCTAAAATATATTTACCAAGGAGGCTTTATTGAAAATAATAATACATCTTATATAAAAGTGATACTAGAAGCCGGGTGTGGTGGGGTAGGCCTTTAAGCCCAGCACTCTGGGGGCAGAGGCAGGCAGATCTCTGTGAGTTCAAGGCCAGCCTGGTCTACATAGTGAGTTCCAGGCCAGCTGGAACTA